GAGATTTGCATTGGACTGGTATTAGTGAAGCAGATCGTAATCCGATCTATAGGAATTTGGTGAGAAGAAACCCAAGACAGAGCTACAATGTCAAATCTTCTAACTTGTGCACGGGGCTTTAACTGCTATTAAGTACTCCCATGTGCCCTCTGGAGCACTTTGTGAGGAGGGAAGGCAAAGAAGCTGTTAAACATAGCTCTTAATATGTAACAGTGAAATCTGCAACAACTCTATGTAGAGAAGACATGGGAAACGTGAATCCAGCAGATGCCGTTCCATCAGTCCTAGGCAAGTGAAGGATGCAGACAGCAGAAGAGATTGTAAACTTTCCACTATTTCATTTTGGAGGGGTGGGATTAGGAGCCCTGCTAATGGAGACCATGGACACATTAGGGTGTAGTATTATGTTAGAATTACTTGAGATCTGTTTGTTTTACACAGCAAACTGCCTTGTGGAAATGCTGCACGGCTCAGAAACTTTAGTTCCAGCCATATACCAGTGCATTAAACAGCACGTAGGGGTGTCCCTGAGCATCAGGACAGAATTGCCCATATTGTTGAATACTTAAAATGGTTGATGGCGTCAGTTTGGATGGGCCCATCTAGCTCTCTCCCATGTCATTCCTGGGTATGTTTTACCATGGGCCAGGGACTTGTTTTGCCATGTTACCGTGGTTCAGGGATCGTTCCCAGCAGGCCACTCACCAGTATGTTTTGGAAGGCAAGAGGTTTTAATGGTACAGGTGCAGACTGTTTCATGGCAGTTGGCCTTGGTCCCAGACAGTTCTCTTGGGAATATTTGTTTATTACCATAGCTGTCAGTGCTGTATCTCTTAATGTGATGCTGTACCATAGCTGATCAGTGTACCAAAGAAACACAAGCACAGAGCAGTGCTGATGTAGCTACATTCCTTGTGTGATTCAGAGCTGTAATATAGCCATGTTTCTTACCCAAAGAAACAGTGTTTTCATATACTGTACTCAAAAACTGCAAGCTGCACTAGCAGCTACTTAGTGGTATTCCCTGGGATGTTTCCCTCTCTTGGGTATTTTCTCTGTATCACAAATCAGCAATGAGCAGTGCGCGTACATCTCAGAGGATTGCTCGGGATCTTTTGTGCTCCTGATGCTATTACCCTCTCTGATAGCACACAGTTGTCATCCTTCAATGGCACTAATGGGAATCGAGGTCCCACCTTTATCTCAAGCTTCTACATTCCTATTTTAGTGTCTTTTGACATCTTCGCAGCTCCTCTTTGCTGGTGGACTGCTCATTGAGGACAAATTCTTTGCAGACTGGTGTGTTTTTTGACTGATCAATGAGCCTTCCTTTTCACTACCTCACACTGTTTCAATACCCTTTTTGATAATTTTTATTTCTCTCATTATGTGCCTATGAAAGGAATAGTCCTCTGTTTGTTCAGTTTCTGTCCCTAATGTCTCTTTCCTTTTATTTATAATCTAACATCTCTCAGAGGAAATAGCTTGCTGCAAGACCATATAATTAGCCTGGAACCTCTGAGCCCCAGTATGGCCCCCATCTGTCACCATTAAAGACCATGAGTATTTTACTCTTAAGTTATCCTAATGGGAAATTCCTCTTCCAAGGGAACTGATAGAAGCTGAGACTTGGGATGTTTAAGCAGGAATGCAAAGAACGGGAAGGAACAAAGTAGTTTGATGTCCAGAGAGCCTATATGCCCCAGGTTTTAGACATGTGACAAAGGGTCCTACATTAGGAATGCTGGTTTTGTAGCTTTCTTCACTAGACACAACTAAGGAGACACACTTCAGACCTCTCCTTTTATTGACAATAGAGGTAGCTTAGTGAGGGTGCAGTCCTCATTTTGGTGTCTGAGGTTGACGTATGCCTTTGAGCTTAATTATCTTTTTTTTTTAATTATGTGTATGTCAGTTATGCAACAAACATGAATTAAATATTAGGTTGAACAATATTAGAATTACAAAAAAAAAAAAAAAAACCAATTCTAAAGCCTATTAAAATGTGTCTGTGCAATTAGTCTCCAAGCACACTACTGTCTCCTCCTTTCTCACTCCCCATCTTTTTATTTTTCCTCTTGTCTCATTTTTCAAGTCCTTCATGTAAGGACTGCTTCTCCCTCAGTTCAGGACTCATTAGTTCTCCATCTCCTATAATGTGCCTGCAGCACTTTGGGATAATAAAATAACAGTGTGAAGTAATAGAATGCTGCTACTACTTGCAGTAAGCAAAAGGCAAAATGTTGTCTCACTTCTATCTGAAATACAAGCAGTGCAGGCTGATTTTGAATTAGCTGCCAACTGCTGAACACAGATACATTGAAGGACAGCCCCAGGCTGTTTTAAAACAGAAGTGCAGAGTAAATGAATCCTTGCTTGGGATGCTTGAAGGCAGCTGGATGCATATTGCTTGCCTTTAGGCTTATGAGGAGTGACATGTTACACAGTTTTCACACCCTTCCAAATATACATGGTACCAAATGACAGATGTGACTTGCTACTGAAAATACTATGCAGTTTTATGGCCTGCATAGCACCTTAGCCAGCTCCTGGGATCACTTCCCCTTGGTCCCTGCCCAGCGCTGGACCAGTGATGTGTGTACGTTGCCCAGCAGTAGGAAGAAGCAGGTCTCCTTCTCTGCTCATGTTGATGTGTTAAAAAGATAAATTATTTGTTGGTAGAATTGACCTATTAAGGACTGGGACTTGACATGCTTCAGTGATCTCCAACCTAGGGGAAGGTTAGCAAAGCTTGGGGAAAGGGATTTACTGCTGATAGTGGGCACAAAGAATGCAGAATTTGTGACCCACAAGGACATTTGGCAGAACTCCCAAGATAAGGAAGAAACTAACAAAGCCAACTCAGCAACTGTGAAGAAATGAGATTGTGACCAGCAACTCACAGCCCACTGAGTCAAGAAACCCACCTACTCAAGAGAAAAACTGAGCATGTGGACTAATTAGCATGAGATGTGAGAGAATCATTAACCAGTAGAAGGTAGAATACTAATCAATAAGAGAACTCTGTGACTTGTAGCGAATGAACAGTGATTTCTTTGTTTACTACAATGTATAAACAGTGTAAAGTTTTGATGACTGGGAAGCCAGCCCATTGCGGGTTACCACCAGCTGCTACTTTGTGCAAATGAGAAGAAATGGAAATACTTTGTCTTCCTATGTAAATTGGTGCTGTGCAGCAGGCAGTGAGCCTACCTTTGGGACAACAATGTTATTACTGCCTCTACCTTTCTCAGCTACACCAGAGTCCTGGAGGCTATCGGTTGAGGGATAGCACTTTATTCATGGAGAAGATGCTGTGTAACAGGTATTCATGGGTGACTGATAGTGGCTACTAATGGCCTAATCCTGTGGTCTCTGCCAGTGTGGCGAAGATGTTTGTTTGCTCCCTGGCATTGTCAAAGTGGCTGGGGGTACAGGATTAGCAAAGGAGAGTGAGCGAGGGAGAGCTGGAAGCCCCCATCAGCAACTCTCTCCCCAGCATTGCCCATATCTTTTCTGAAAGTTAGGATAACCTCATGGTACTTGATGATATTAGTGGATCTTTTTCTTGAGTATTGTGGAAAATTCAGATTGTGTCATCTTTCACTGATGCAGCAGGCTTGGCAAAAAGATTTGGTCTCATGGTCTTTCTCACTCAAACCAGCAGTCTTGGCATCTGATCTGCAGAATACTGAGTGCTAAGCACAGAGCTGTGAAATATGGGGATGACTATAATTGCTTTGTTTCTTCTGCAGAGATGTGTCCATATTAAAATCAAAAACAGATACTATAGCTATGTGGGATTGATTGTCCTTTATTCTCTTGGATGCCTGAGAGCCTAGAGCATGAAGGTATCCTGAGAATATGCTTAGATGGTATCCACTTCCACACAAATATCTTAGGAGTCAAGGCTCATATGGTTTCTTTAACTTAAAGAAATGTTGCAAACTTGCTGCAACTGTTATATAAAAACAAGCATTTAGGTTTGAATCCAAGAACTGTGTTACAGCTCCCTGAGCACTTTAACTGTTATTTTCAGGGCACCGCAGGGCATAAGTGTGAAATGTTAATTGTGGCAGAGTGCTCTGGAGGGTGGGGTCTGTTTTGAGGACACAGCAACTGGGAGGGTGGAGGCTGTGTGACTGTGAACTCCAAGCCGAAACACCCAGAAATCATAGGTAGGGTCTCAGAAGTGGAGTTTTTTTATTAATTTTTTTTTAAGATTCATGATGGTGTATTTTATTTACCTTTAGTGTTTCTGAATCTTCAGGACATAAATGGGCTATGTCTTAATCAGCCCAGAATGGGGTTTTCAGGAGATTGGGGTTAGTGCGGCTGAAAAATTAATTGCACTATTGCTCAAAATACTTAACTGCTCTAACTTTATCATAGGTAATCCAGTATGCACTGAACTAGAACCAATGGTTGTATAGTTTTATTGAGAGATGTCTTGAGGAGGAAAATGGTTTCCTAAAGCTAAAAGCTTTGTCACCGAAATGTTTGTATTTTAGCACTCTTTTTTTTTCTCTTCCCTGCCATTTGTGACCAAAGAACTATAAAAATTCTGCTCTTCAAATTGAGTTCTCTTAAAAAAAATGAAAAAAAATCTACAAAGCAGCATTTAGAGATCGTAAAGTGAGAAAGGTGAGGAACTGAGGCAAAGTCTTGTAAGACTTCTAGTCCTGACCTGTGTCTGAAGCAGACTATTTTTTCCTTGTAGAGAGCCTTCTGAGCTTTAATTTTAACACCTAAAGTTAGGTAGCATGAATGCCCTAGATAAAACCCTAGTTGCTCTACTCACTTTGCTTACATGTCGAAATTCATGAGATGCCAGTTTTTCTGAATCAGTGTTCATAACCTGTTCCAGTTATTCTCTCAGCACAAAAATAATGCTAAATGGGCATTAAACTGTTTTAATATACAGTGTCTGTTACGATTGGTAATTTTTTCATGATCTCTTTTCAGTGTAATAAATTCTAACTAAAATCATTGTCTTGCAGGTCTGAGTACAGCCGTATGTCCTCTACCAGCAGTGAGTATAACTTGATTATTTTTTTTAAACAGATTCTTGTATTTTCTATGTTTCTGATTGCTTCATATTTATTAACATCAACCTGATGTTATCGATGGAGTTCACCTTGATGCAGTAAAGCCCCCATTCCTCCTCTTCTTGGATATATGTCTAGAAACAGCATAGAAAATTAAATTGATTAAATATTTATGACCAAAATATAAGCCGTGGGTAAAGTCATGTTGAAGCTCACAAGTATGCAAGGCAAAATGAGAATAAAACCTGTAGACACTGTGTAACCAGTAGGAGTTTGCAGTGATGAATGTCATTAGAGCTGGGGAATGCAGGAATAATTGAATTATTGTAAACTGATGCCAGTGAAGCACTTCAGAGCAAGTTTTTCTTTGATTTCAAAGATGGTAGATGCTCTAATAAGTGTCCCAGTCTTTCTAGGTATTTACAATAGCCAGTTGAATTTCAAGTTACCCAACTGATAAAAGACGAATTCTGGTGTCTGGATTATTTTTTATTTATTTTTCACCAATGCAAAATGACGATTTTTTTTTTTTTTAAGAGCAAGGAGCACTTTTTCAGTCCTCTTTCTACTCCAACCACTTCCTTAGTTGTAGGAACATACTGCATCCTCAGCACTTTGAAACGCAATAATGCTTATTCATGCACGGCTACTAGTATCTCTCTCTTGTCAAAGTGCAAAGTGATGCCTGTCTCCCTGGTTCACACATAGACATGAGCGTTATTTATGCCAAGCAAGCACATCAAAAATTCATAGATGACAAACTGTGTTTTGTAATCTGGATCTTTAGGAACCATGAAAATCGGAGGGGAAGAAAGCTGTCAGTTTTTTCTCATTCACACATTCTGACTGAAGCGTGGAGAGGGTTATTTTCTATCTCCCATGGTCTTCAGTGAAGGACTTTTATTGACTGCAACAGGAGCTGGATCAGACAGTTTTTGTAATGTCTGGCTCATGAGCTGATGTGACTAGCAGGGAACTTGCTGTCTTTCCTCCATCTGCTCAGTGTGTGTGTGTGTGAGAGAGAGAGAGAGAAAAAGAGAATTTAGTGCAGCTTTTTCCTAAATTCTGTTATTTAAATAGATTTCTGGATTCCCACTGTCAGACATAATTTTTGAAATGACTGGGAGGCAAAATCCAGGCAATCAACTTCTCATGATAGTAAAAGCATATTGGATTTGACTGGTTACACCAGATGTATGCCCCAGTACTTCCTCAGCTCACAATTCCAGGTAATGGATTGGGGAATATGCTGCCAACTTCCTCATCTTTTTGGGTGGTGACTCAATTATTTGCCTAGTAGAGGCAGGTAAGTTCAGAAGACAGCTTGTAAGTAAAGTGTTTCTCATCTAAAAATTTGGTTTGGATCCCTTACCAACTTTGCATGACTGCTGCACATTTACAAATAAAGGTAACAAATTAGATTTGTAAGTCTTTGTTTTTATTAAATGAGCTGTTCTAAGGGGAATTTTTTTGTTGTGTGGCAGCTACCATTTGTCATGTTAACTGTGGGCACCTTAGTGTCTTGCTGGCCACGCTGTCCAGTGTACGTGGGGATTGCAGATGTATTTCAACACGAGTAATTTGTCAGTACAAGAAGATATTATCATTCCAGCAAAGACACACAAGTTCAGGAGACAGGACAGTCTCCTTCTTTCTCTTTTCTGCTTCCAATGCAAATTATACTGATACAGCTTCACAAGTAGTATTATTTAACTCTGCATTTGGAGGGGTTTGTGGGGTTAGTTTGTTCAGACAGTGCAAGAGTAACAGAAACAGTTATATAAAAGAATTTCAGTAAAATAGAAATACTTTAATGTCAGAGGCTGGTAGTCAGTGGATATATAATGTATTTGAAGAAGAGATTATTGGGGAAGAGAGGTTGGGAATGAAAGGTGATTTGGACCTTTTAATTTCTTTGGGGAAAAGATTAAACAAATGATATAATTCTCACTACAGAAAGCAGTCTAATCAATGATGATGTTAGGCCCTAATCATAACACAGACTGTTGAAAATTAGTAAGCAAAGAATCTCAATTATCTATAGCTCCTTCATCTGAAGCTCCTGTTCCGATGAAGTGGAGTTTATCTAAACCAGAAGGATTATAAGCTAATTTGGTTTTGTGGGGGTCTTTCTAGATGAACTCCACTGGACAATAGTTTTCCACAGACATGCCAAGAAAAGGTTAAGAGATTTAGCAGGTGAATTAACCACAGCTGCCTATGTCACCACAGCTGAGCAAACTGCAGGACTTTGCATCAATGCAAAGGTGTACAGTAACCCTACACCCCTCTAAATCAGAAGTAGAATCTCATTGACTGCTATACAGCAGTGGAGGAATCATTCTGTATGTGTGTTTATTTTTAGTACTATTTTTCCCTAAGCATATGGCAGCAGTTATCAAGTATTACTTCAGCAGTTCAAAGCCCTGCCTGGTGGGTTAGTTGGATCTTGGGTCTATGCAACATCTCACTTTTCTTTTTTGCCTTTGTGTCCCAGCTTCAAATAATCAAAAAATCCTTTTTTACTGTCAGCATTCATCTAGCATTTGTGGTTTTGTACAGCACGTAATTTGGGAAAGAGTATCAAAGTTTCTGGAATGTGGGTATTTCTGCAAGAAAATGCAGCAGCTATCTGCTGTGCGGACTCTGGCTGTTGTCAAGGTGACCGTGCCACTTTGCCTTTTCTTATTGAGTAGAGCAAAAAGGCCAGGCAAACCTGTCCACTGGATGCTGCATTTTGAAGTATTACAGCTTTCAAAGGTTCAGCAGTATGATTTCAGTGACGAAAAATGCTGATTGTTTTTTTCTGAATTCTGGTGTGTATAATCATTTTTCCCTTTGTTCTTTAGGGGGAAGTGTGCTTTGTCTTCTTAAGATGTTTTGCATATTGGTGTGCTCTTCATTAATCTAGGAAATGTATTAACCTTCTTTTTGCTCATATATTTAATTACCTTTTCAATTATGGTTTTCAATTACCATTAGGGATCCCTAATTTTATGTGAGAGAGAATTGTGCTAGGCACTTTACACCCACAGAAGAGACCTTTACCCGAAGTACTTAATACCAAAATATAAAGACCATAGGTGGCATATGGATACAGACAGTTGGAATCACAAAGAAATAATTAATTAGTGTTGGCTGGCACAATAAGCAACAGTCTCTGTACATCATCATTTTAATTATCTTCTGATTGCTTTGAGCTATGTGTTTCAGGGATGATTTTCGACCAGGGAGAAGGAGTTTTGATGGGGGCTGCTTATTACCTCCTCTTCATAATCTTTGCCTTTATGATAATAGCTCTTCAGAAAGACCCAAACCAGAAGTGGACATTTTGAAGAAAGACTTTTGTGATTAGTAACATTCACAAAGGATGAGAGGAAATGGCCTCAAATTGCACCAGGGGAAGTTTTATGTTAGATATTAGGAAAATTTCTTCACTGAATTGCGGTCAGGCATTGGAACAGGCTGCTAAGGGAAGTGGTGGGGTCACCATCCCTGGAAGTATTCAAAAGACAAGTGGATGTGGCACTTAGGGATATGATTTAGTGGTGAACATGGCAGTGCTGGGTTAATGATTGGACACGATGATCTTAGAGATATTTCCCAATCTTAATGATTCTATGATTTTAAATATTCCATACCTAGTCAGCTCTGGAGCCATACAACCAGATTATCTTAGAAATAATTGTGTGATTGAGGGTTTTGCTTTTATTTGGTTCTTTTTTTAGCTAGGCAGTGAGGTAGCTGCCCGGATAGACATTTGTACTGATCCAGCTAAGCTGGTAAATGAAACATAAAATTGGTCCCTTGTGGAAGAGTTTAGAACATTTGAGATAGCAAAACCCTGTAGCACACATTAGTTCATGTTTTGTTTCTCAATGAGGTAAAGGGCTCACTCACCTGCTTTGCAGTTGGAAAGCTGGTTATTCACCTTCCCCTGCTCCTCTGCCTTTCTTTTAGCAGCTAGGAAACAGCTGAGTCCTTCTGGGGTGTTTTTAGGTTGTTCATACTCTTCAGTGGTAAAACTGAGAGCTGGGATATTAAAATTTTATTTTCGTGTTGCACATACCCATGTTTCTAACCCATGGAATTTCACCCACTTTCTGGTTCTAAAAATTAAGCACAAGAAAGTTTGTTTTGGCAGATTTAAGATATGTGGGTTACTGAGTGTATCTCTTTTTAATACATTTTCTGTTTGATATTCTGTTCCTATGCTAGTATAAATTCAGATCTCTGTTTTTGGATTTAGTCAATGTTTGGTCAACATTGTGTCAATGTCATCTGCATCAGCTCCCTGGGCTGTGACCCCATGGGAAGTCCACACTATAGCAGGCTCCTGCCAGAACCTGCAGACCTTTGGAGAGAGGAACCCACACTGGAGCAGGTTTGCTGGCCACACTGCAGTGGTGGGTTCCCGAACGATTGCACTCCATGAAAAGGGACCCACGTTGGAGCAGTTCATGAAGAACTGCAGCCTGTGGGAAGGACTCATGTTGGAGAAGTTCATGGAGGACTGTCTCCTGTGGGAGGGACCCCACACTGGAGCAGGGGAAGGACTCCTCTCCCTGAGGTGGAAGCAGTGGCAGAAATAACGTGTTGAACTGACCATAACCACCATTCCCCGTCTCTCTGTGCCACTGGAGGAGAGGAGGTGGAGAATGGGGAATAAAGTTAAGCCCAGGAAAGAGGGAGGACTTGGGGAAAGGTGTTTTTAAGATTTATTTCTCATTATCCTACTTTGATTTAGATTGGTAATAAATTCAACTAATTTCCCAAAATCAAGACTGTTTTGCTCATGACAGTAATTGATGACTGATCTCTCCCTATCCTTAACTCATAAAACTTTCATTATATTTTCTCTCCTCTGCCCAACTGAGGAGTGGAGTGACAGAGTAGCTTTGGTGGGTACCCAGTGTCCAGCCAGGGTCAAACACCACAACATGCCTTGTAACAACAGCATACAGAGAAATGGTTTCCTGTTACT